TGGTAACAGGGCAGTTTTGGGTTAGATTTCAGGGTTAGTGAGTGGGGATGGGTTGGGGGGGTACAAGAGTTCTGGGATCTCGTGTAGCTAGGAAACGCTAGGTGGCCCCAAGAAAAGGGCATCCCTCCCAGCAAAATGTACTTAACATGGTCTATTCAGAGAATGCAATAAGGCGTGACTGGGAACTAATCTCCGTATTTAAATGTTTGAGGCAAAATTATCTGAATGAATTTTAATGGAAAAGGAGCAGTCAGTTTTCCATTGGTAATCTGTATCCATCCTATTTGGGAAGGGGGAAACAGTTCTGGCAAGAACAATTTTATTTAAAAAACAAAATGTTTTGTTTTAAATTTTGAGCACTACTGGTTTGTGAGCTGCTGTTCATTCACCTGCAGTCCCTGGTGAGTGGACTGTGAACACTGTTATTCAGCTACAGGGCTCCTGGTCTGTCCATTGGATAAATCCAGCCTTTTGCCGCAAGCATTTTGCATTTTACAAAACTAAACAAAAACATAAAACACTCTGAAGAAGAGGCATAGCAGACACAAAGCTCGACAGTTGTGAATGTCACATTAAGGGATGTGTTCCACAGAGATCAGTGAGTCCACTGTTGTTTGTCATTTATATAAATGACTTGGATGTGAATATAGGAGGCATGGTTAGTAAGTTTGCAGATGACACCAAAATAGGTGGTATAGTGAGTAGTGAGGAGATTATCTAAGAGTACAATGGATCTAGATCAGCTGGGCCAATGGGCTGAGGGGTGGCAGATGGAGTTTAATTCAGATTAATGTGAGGTATTGCATTTGGTAAGGCAAGCCAGAGCAGGACTTACACAGTTAATGATACGGCCCTAGGGAATGTTGGTGAACTTAGAGACCTAGGGGTGCTGGTACATAGTTCCTTGAAAATGGAGTCACAGGTAGACAAGGTGATGAAGAAAGCATTTGGCATGTTTGCCTTCATTGCTCAGACTATTGAGTATGAGAGTTGAGATGTCATATTGAAGTTGTATAGGTCATTGGCAAGGCCCCTTTTAGAATATTGAATTCAATTCTAGTCACTTTACTGTAGGAAGGGTATTATTAAATTGGAAAGGGTACAGAAAAGATTTACAAGGATGTTACCAGGATCAGAGGGTTTGAGCTCTAGGAAGAGGCTGGATGGGCTGGGACATTTTCCCTGGATTGTGTGAAGTTGAGGGGTGACCTTATAGAGGTTAATTAAATCATGAGGGGCATAGATAAGGTGAATAGCAAAGGTCTTTTCCCTGGGATAGGGGAATTCAAAACTAGGGGGCATAATTTTAAAATGAGAGGGGATAGATTTAAAAGGGACCTCAGAGGCAACCTTTTCACACAGAAGGTGATGCCTATGTGGAATGAGCTGCCAGGGGAAGTGGTAGATGCAGGTACAGTTACAAACTTGAAAGACACTTGGACAGGTACATGAATAGGAAAGATTTAGAGGGGTATGGGTCAAACACACGTAAATAGAACTATAATTGTTTGGCAAACCTGGTAAGCATGAATGTGTTGGGCCGAAGGGTCTGTTTCTGTGCTGTATGACTCTACGAAAGGTGCATATGCATCAGACAAAGTGCAGATACTATTTATAAAAACAGTTCAAAGAACGTGAAACCTCACTGATGAGGAGAAATTGAAGAAGTTGGGGCTGTTCTCCCTGGGAGAGCAGAAGGCTGGGAGGAGATTTGATGGAGGTTTTCAATACTATGAGCAGCTGGATAGACAGAAAGAAGCTGTGCCTGCTTCTACAAGGAGCCAGAACAAGAGCAAGCATTGATTTAAAGTAATGTGCAAATGAGGCAAGGGTGAAATATGGAAAAAAAAACATTTTCACTGGGCTACACTGTTGGGAAAAACGTGTTGGAGGCTGGTTCAATGGAGGCAGTCAAGAGGGCCACTGGATGGTTATTTGGATAGACATGGTGTGCAGGAATATGGGGAAAAAGCAGGAGAATGGCTCTGGGGTAGAACTGGTGTAGATACACTGTACCGAATGGCCTGCTTCTGCACTGTAAGCGTGCTGTGATTTTGTTGAGATTTTTGTTAGGTTACCTGACTTCTCCAGCACTTTCTGTTTTATTTCACAGCCAAATGCAATGCTTTCCTCAGCCCATCACCTGGGGAGGGGAGACATGCCCGGGGTAGGGGAGTCCAAAACTAGAGGGCATAGGGTTACGGTGAGAGGGGAAAGTTTTAAAAGGGACCTAACAGGCAACTTTTTCAAACAGAGGGTGGTGTGTGTGTGTAATGAGCTGCCAGAGGAAGTGGTGGAGGCAGGTACAATGACAACATTTAAAAGGCATCTGGATGGGTGCATGAATAGGAAGGGGTTAGAGGGATATGGGGCAAATGCTGGCAAATGGGACTAGATTTATTTCGGATATCTGGTCGGCATAGGCGAGTTGGACCAAGGGTCTGTTTCCATGCTGTACAGCTCTATGACTGTATGAAGAGGACAACGGTGACCCTAAAGTCGCCGAGAGCTTTGTGCGTGTGTGTGTGTTTATCTCAATCCCACTCAGTTCAGAAACCGGGCGTTTACAAGGCCCTTCGCAAAGAAAGGACTCTTCTTAAATAGGTTCTTAAATAGGTTAGAGGGTTTTAATGGACCCTCCTCAGATACACGGTGACCCTCTGGGCCCCAGTAATCAGCTTCACAGGATTTTTACCAGCCAGGGAGTAAAGTTTGCAAGTTTTGCCCCTAGTGAGCAAAGGGTAGAGGACTGCGTTTGTCTCTGAATCCCCTTCCTTTTTTTAAAAAGAAATAAATGACTGGCGGATGGTAAAAGAACGGCATTCCCCAAACAAAGCAAGTCAGCATGGCAAAAATAATTTTTATTTTATATTCAGATTTCATGACCGCACACAGTTTAAGGAAAACTACTACAACTGACTCCGTTATTTTACAATCCGAACCGTTTCTACCAGAATAAGACTGTGTGCGATTTTCACTCGCCCCTTGTTTCCTCCGATAGCGAAAACAAAACTGCTATCCACAAGCATCTGTTCAAACAACGATGAAAGGCGTTAGCTCATCCCACTTAGTAAATCTTATGCATGCCAACTCATACCAAACTGCTACTTTTACAAAAAAAAATGCAATAATACATTTAATTATTTCCAGTCCTTTTTTTTTCTCTCGTTTTTTTTGCACCAAAAAAAAGAGAATCGTTTTCTATTTACAAGGTATACATAAATTCTCCCGGTTTGATCACCTTAAAAGGAATTACACGCAGGACGATGTTGCGGATGTTCTTTTGTTGTTGCTTAAAAAAAGGGACAGAATAACAAAATCGAAAGAATGGTGTAAACATACTCGCAGAGACAGAGAAAAAAAAACCTCTTCAACCGGTCCTGGATGGTTTTTAATTGCATCCCACAGAATGTGATGGACCCAGCGTTGTTGGAACGGCCTCTCTCCCAAGATTCCTGCTACCCCACTCTCCTTAACACACTGTGTGTAACAGCTGATTGATCCCTGTTGATAGCTGCAGCTTTCCCTTCCTACCCGATTTACATCTGTTCAGGTCAGTTCAAATATGGTGAGTAAATGAATTGGACATGCAAATGCAAGCCCTAGGCGAGAGACTGCCTGGCTGGAATTCTGGGATGGCAGTCTTCTGCCCTATATACTTAACGTTGTGTGTGTGTATGTGTGAAAAAATCCTGACAATAACAGTTCTCAGTCATTTGTCGGGCAATTGTAAGGCTGCTTTTGCACTAAGGAGGCTCTTGGAGGAGGTTCGGGGCCTTGGAAACAACACACATAGTGTGGAAGAAAGTTCACATAGTTATTTTTTAATCTATAAGAAACACCATATTATAGGGACAGTACAATACCATGTACAAGTTATAATTAGAAGTCTTCTCTCTCTCTCTCTCTCTCTCATCATCCTATGTGATTCTACAATAGCATTTAACAGAATTTCATGTCCCCAGGAATTGATGCTCGCAAGACGTTTTCCTGATTTCAGGATTCCTGTGAAAGATGTTGGTTCAGGTTGGTCCACAACTGACGTGAAGAACATAGATCCCGTCTCACTGCTTTCTAATCAGTGTCTGATCTCAGGTCACCATGGGTGGATGCTATTTCCCTTCAGCTATTGAGCATGGATGTCCATGACTTGTCCTCCCATTGTTGGGTCACCGGGGTTGAGCATTGTGGGGCTAGATGCTGACATTGACATCCCAGGATGGGGTGGTGGTCCTCCATGCAACATCATTGCTGGGTGGTGGGGGTGTCCAGGAATGTACGAATGCATGGGAGGTCCGTGTCGTAATTGGGCAGGGTGAGGGGGCATCTGGGGAGGGGTGTAACTTGGCTGTCCCATGCTCATACCCATTGCACCACCCTGTGATACATAATCTCCTGGCATACCTTGCAAACCTGCAAAAAAGCACATGGAGGCCTTTTAGTGAAACAGCGCTGGTTCACTGTAACCCACCTACAACATTAACACACATATTACATCTCAGACAAAGATGGGAGATATGCAAAACTATTGCTGGAAAAGTATCTTCATTAATGTACAATGCAAACATGTTTGGCTACACCTTTTCTTGCAAAACAATGAGCCACGTAAACCAACTAGGAAAAATGACAAGTCTTAAAAAATCTTTTCTGTTTTATAAAAATTATGCCATTGTAAAGGCAAACAAGACCATGCAGAAAATAAATATTGAGAGTAACATTTGAAGTGCGTTCCTCAATTTGAATGAGTCCCCCATTATTATACGAAATGTCGGGCTCAATGATGCAGTTTGAAAAGAAATTTTTAATTATACCATCCCACTCTGAAAATAATGGAGAATATTGGAACAGCATGCCCCTTATTGTTCAAAGACCATGGTGGGGATGGGCACAGCAATTTAAGGGAAACTTTAATCAGCAATCATTTTTGTTGCTGAAAATGGTAAGATTTCAAACTGGGGAAAAGAAAGAGTATGGGGGGGGGAGCTGAATCATGTCCTTGTGAAAAGGTCAAAAAAACTTCTGCTCAGTAATTGGAAGGTGGGTTCCTTAGCAAAGGCCTCCAAGAGAGCCAGGGTGGGGGGTGCTAGTGCTGGCCTGGCAGGGTCGGGGTTACTAACCATGTCTAATAAACCATACCTGCAAAGCCTGCTTGGCAATTGCGAGCAAATCAATAACGCTCATGAATTAAACCTCTCTCTGTGATCACTAATGTCTGAAAAGTGGAATTTGAATTCGGGGGGCCACCTTTGGCTGGGTTTGGATAGAAACAGAAAGAGAAATTAAGGCCTAAAACAATAGGCCTCCTGCTCTCTGTGGGCCTCTACCTTCTGCATGGGTTGTCATGGTTGATGGGAACTGACAGGTGTATTGTTCCTAAGAGCTATAAGCTCTATAATCGTCCGGGATTGGAAAGCATGGTACTCTCACTAAGTAGGTTCAATTGGCTTCCCCTCTGAGTAATATGGCTCTATGACTGCTACAAACACCTTGGATTCAGGACTTCAGTATGTACAGCAAACGGCTGCTTAATCTAGCCTAAAGGAACAATTGTGAGCTAATGAAAATTGCTTATAAAATATACTGTACCCACAGCTCCATAATCAAATAAGCCGATAATATTTTTGTAATAACCTATTAATTTAATTGGTCATGAAGCATATAATACATCATTTAAATTTAATTGACCTAGAAACTAAGAAACAATATTTAAATTAGCCAAGCTCGGAATTTTCATTCTGAGGTAATAAGTCTGTTGCATTCCTCAGCTCAATGGAATTTTTTTTCACAGCTAATTGTCAGGCTGATCCTTGATTCCACGCAAAGCACATATCTAGAATTCGCTTGGCCTTGATATCATTAAAACGGGCATCGCCACATGAGAGAGGACAATCAGAACAGAGTGCTTTTACTTCAGAAAACAAACTAGGAGGATGTCAATTAGTGACAAGCCTTTGAGAAGCAGCGGCGGAAGAAAATGTGCCCTTCTTTTTATGTTGCTGTTGCTTGATGTGGTTTGGTGTTTAAACAGAACTGTGTACTCTGCGGAATCCACACACATACATACGCACGCACACATACACACACGCACACATACACACACACACACACAAAAATGGTTAGTTTAATTAAAACAAAAGGAGAATAATGCTCATTTATCATCAAGGGCAAGGGCAGTAGAACTCAGCAAGCTCACAGGCTTGGCTTTACTGGGCCCAACCATTCAGGATTGCATTAATGATCTCAATTTGTGATTACTCAAAAAGTCAAGTCCATTTGTCACACTGCATGTGATGGCATACTTAATTTAGATGTGTGCAATTAGTCTTAGCTGAACTCCATACACTGCTGCAACCTCCTCCATTTTGACTAGCTTGTCTAAAGAAAAAGAGAAAATTCTGCAACCCAAAATAATGCTTTCGCGAGTAGCTGGATTTCCTTTTTTTAAAAAAATAGAAATTTTTGATAAATAGGTCCCTAATTGAAAATGGGAGGAATTGGTCTCAATTCGAATTATATTCAAAGCTCCTGTTTTCTTTTGCTGTAGGAACATTGTTCGATTGCCTTTTTGGTGTCTCCCAGGTTAGTGTATAAATGTAACTCATGCATCAACTGTGGCTAGACAGATTTATGACACTTTGGGGACATGCTCTTTCCTCTCCTTGCACTGCTGCAGACTGCTTACATTTTGCCAATCAGTCTGTTGCTATGGCGACACACTCCCCCCTCTGGCTGGCTCTTGTTTTTTTTTGTTATGTGGCTAACTCCATGTTACTGTGCACAGTTGCCGACAACAGTATCAGACACAAATGCTTCCTTAGATATGTATGTATACGTGTGTGTGTGTTTGTGTGAGTGTGTGTGTGTGTGTCTGTGTGCATACACATATACAAACATGCACATTTTTCAATAGATTTTATGTCACTGATGGTGAAGTCAAGCAGTCACAACTAGGAGAGAGAAAACAGATGGCCTAAGAACAGTTTGGGAAAAAAAAAGTGAATGCAGCATGAAGTTATGGGCGGGAACAGCAAAAAAAAATGTATGAAGGAAAAAAAATCTCCTAGAACAAGATGTAAAAATAAAGTCCCTAATTGGTACTTACTTCCCCCTGGTTTTGCGATTGGTTACCTAGCTGAAGATTACATGTAGTGCCATTGCCCCTCCATGCCCATATTCATGCCCAATCCACTCATAGGTCCTAGAAAGGAGATAAAAATCCAAGAAGATGCCAGAAAATGAGAAAAGTCAAAAAAAAACAGATAGCGCCAAAATGACCCCTTTTCTTTTGTTAAACACCGGGATCTTAGGGTCAAGCGGGATAATTGGATCCTGCAACAGGAGAAATCATCCCTCTTTTTTTTTGTTTTAAAACCATTAGGTGCATAGAAGACAGGCAAGGCAAGGCAGGCAGTTTGAAGTGCAGTAAAAGATGAGGGTGATAATCCTGATGAGCACTCTGAATGGTGTGGGATGAAGATGTAAACACTGGTGAGCATGAGAAGGGAGTATGGAGGAATACACGCTGTACAGTGTGAATGCTTACCAGGGGGTCGGATACCCATATGCTGTTGTCCATCCATCACAAAGCCTCCCATTGGCTGACCATCTGGGTTGTAGGGTGCACCTTGGCTCACTGAGGATTAAGAACAAATCTGGATATCATTTTCCGTTGACAGTGCTCAGATCTGATTCAAACTCTGGAACACCTTGTTTGAAGAGGCTCCATAATACAAAGCATATGAACAGAGTTTCAACTCCACTGAGTGATTTCTCACACAGCCATTTCAAAAGAAAAATAAAATCTTGCCTGACTGATGTAATCTGGCCAAGAGCACGGGACTGTATGCGCACACTTTCACTTCAAATGCTAAGTGGCTTACTATTAATTTTTATTTTCATTATAAATTGCTGTTTGGTACAGGTACTAGAAATTTACATCAGCGTAACAAGGAGAAAGTGTTGCCTAACCCGTTTTTGTCTTCTGCTAATAATGGTGCTAACTGGTTTGTATCTCATGCATTTCCCTATTCGCACTGAGTTTGCTAGGAAGCTGGATGCCACTAAAAACAAAATAGAAGATTCTGGATGGTCTTTAGACTTTGCTTTTTTTTTGGGGGAGTTACCAGTAATTACTTTCTGATTAGATACCACATCTGCTCTGTATTTTTTTTTGTACTGTCTCTTCCCTATCGTTTTATCTTCGGGAGCAGTAAGGAAACTCTGCATTAGCCAGGACCCCGGAAGGAAGCTTGCTTCTTGCAGTTGGAAAATCTGACGCAGGATGGTAAAACCATCCCTGGAAATTTCCTGCCACTGCAGTTCATCCTAAGTGTTCCAGTACAATTAAAAATAAAGTACCCTTTCCGTTCAGCACTGGATGTTTGATGCTTTCCATAGAGTCATTGCACGATACAAAACAGACAGGCAAAACTAGGCCAACCCTGCTTTTGATAGAGACATCCAATTAATTCCATTCTCCTGCTCTTCCCTTCCAATACTTATCCAAATTGCTTTTGAAAGTCAATCTGCTTCCACCACCAGCTCATTTCGGGACACAACTCACTGCATTTAAAAAAAATCAAGGTTTCCTGGGGTCACATCATGTTCTGTGCCAATCACCTTAAATCTATTTCCGCTGGTCGCTGATCATCTTGCCACCGGAAGCAGTATCTCCTTAAAACCCCTCATAATTTAGTAAATGTCTACGAAATTGCCCTTTGACCTTCTCTGTCGAAGGGGAACAAGCTCCTCCGATCCCTCCATATTGTTGAAATCTCTCAACTTTGGCACTGCCTGGGTCCTTCCCAAGGTTTAATAACCTTCCCAATGCAAGGTGCACTAAATTGGGTACAATACCACAGTGTAACTAGTGACTTAGAAAAGTTTTGCATTATATTGTTGCTGGTGCTTTCTCTCGTTTGTGGTATGATCTTAAAGTGAGATAGTTTTTTTTCACAGAGAACTGTAGAGCCAATAGCTTTTTCACAGAGAACTGTACAGCCTCTTTGGTTTGTACCGTCTTCCTTGTCATCAACTTTTAAAAGGGCTAAAGGTCAAAATGTAGCACAGGCACAGGTGCTAGACACTGTAGAAAAATGTCAAAGAAAATCTACTAGAACAATGGCTTCATTGTCCTTCTTTTCGAATTGTGAAGCATCAGGTTTTTTTTTAAAAGATTGGAGATTAAAGATTCTGCATTAACAAAACCAGAAACGTGATTATAAAGAACGAGGTCATGCTTTAGACACACAAAAGCATGTGAAGCTAATCTGCACACGTACTGTCCAGGTTTCAAACTGTCCTGCAATTAAAATTGTTCAGCTGGAGATTTCCACTGCACAGAATTCTGAGGCCCCGGGTTAAAATGACTGCCATTTTAGACAAGAAGGTGCTTGAATGGTTTTGCCATTAGATGGTTACAGTGGAGGTCACAGCCAAAGCTCAAGGCAAAATGACACAACATCACCTCTTAAATATCATCATGGCCATACTGATAATTCCTTTCTGAACCTAGTGGAGTGGGAGTTAAGCACAAAAGAGAATCATCGCCGCAATGCAGTTAGATGTTCATAAATGCCATATTAATCTAGCCTTTTTTTATTGCTCTGTTCTGCTTCTCCTGTGCTGGCCTCATTAGACCATCTTTCTTCCATGTTTGAGAAGCCTGGCTAGGACACAGTACTCCACTGATGTCACTCTCTCCAGCGAGCTGGAGACCTAACACAGTGGCTCAGCAATGATTCTTCTTGCACCTTTCTATCCCCATTTGGGAGAAGGCTCCACTTAGCTCAGTGATGTTACACTCTCTCAGACGTTATTGTTCCATGTTTGTTTGAAAGCCGCAATGCTGCGAGAGGAGACCTGGATGTCACATGTGCCTCATGTGCAAATCTTGAGAGGATGTGAACAGTTGTTGGGTTAGTTAATCAGATTACAACTGCTCACAGTTTATCTGAAGGGTTAAAGAAAACAAAAGCAGAGGACATCTCACGGAACTGAGAATCTGCACCCAATATAGGGTCTTGGTAGAATTGTCTTGTGAGCAAAGTAATATGGGATCACCTCCCTCAACCTTTTCATCTCTCTCTCCTCTCCTTTGTGATGTTCCTCAAAACCCATCTCTCTGACCTTTCCTAATTACCACCTTTTATGGCTCAATGTCAAATTTCATTTGATAACGCTCTTCTCAAGTATCTTGAGATGATCTATGAAGGCGCCATAGAGATGTAAAATCTTTTTGTGAAAGAATAAACAAAGGCATCCAATTATATGGCACTTTTAACAATCACCAGATGTCACATAGTGCTGTACATCCAAAGAACTGCTTCTGAAGTGCAGTCACTTATCTTAATGCAGGGAAATCAGATGTCAATTCATGTAAAGCAAGCTCCCATGGGCAGCCGACATGATAAAGACTGGATGACCTGTTTCTTTTTAAGTAATGTTGATTCAAGGAATAAATATTGACCTGAACACCAGGGATAAATGCCTGCTCTTTTTCAAGACAGTGCTTTGGAATTGTTAAAGCCTACCTTAGGCAACACTGGGCCTTGGTTTACCATCTCACTCAAATGACAGTACATTTGACAGGGCAGCATTCCATCACTGCCAGAATTTCCAGCAGATTTCTCTGTTCATTTTCACAAGTGGGGCATGAACCTGCATCCATGTCAGAGACAAGACTGATATTCCACTTTCTATTCTGCTTTCCAATGTGCGATGATCAGTTGGCTACGTAGGGATTGGATCCTGTAAATTATGCCCTTGTTATAACACATTACAGTGGAGGGCGAGCAGTTGAGTTCACTGACAAGTGACTTGTTGTGACCAACACTGGTGATGCCCTGTCAAAAATCCTAACGCAAGTTTTGATATTTAATTTTTGATTCATGGTTATTGTAACATGAAAAATGCATGAATATCCAAAAAAATTTAACTTAATGCACTGTTTTCTTTTTGTTCAAAGGCAGATTTACTTTCGGTTACAATATTTAATTAGATTGACACAAATGTACAGCATACATCAGAAAATAAGCCAGATATATCATGAAACATTTAGCGTAAATCAGTCTTTCGAGCTGTTGAAAGCTGATAGACCTGTGCAAACTCGATGGACTGAAGGGCCTGTTTCTGTGTTGCAGACCTTTATGACTATTGGATTATTCCTTCTGATTTTGTTAGTCTAATAATAAATGAGATATAAGGCAAAAAACTGGAAATACTCAGCAGGCCAGACAGTGGAGGCAGACAGAAACAATGTCAATGCCATTCCATTGCGGCCCCTAAAATGTTAACTCTCACTGGTGTGTATTTCCAACATTTGCTGCTTTTATTCTGCATTTTCGGCATCCACAATACTTTGTTTTATTCTATGCAAACAGATAGATATGTGAACTGTAACACTGGACCAAATTACACACTTATTCTTTTGAATTCACTAATTAAAAAGGAACCCCATGGTTTAGGTAAAGAGCCCAGAAGAGTTTGAATCTCATTTTATTCCACGTGCAATCAGTGTGATGGTGGTAGCCCTTGATATGAGTTATGTTTTTCACAAAGCAAATGACACCTTTGTTTTAAATACTGAAAAATACAGGAATGCTGTAATGCTCTGACTGTGACGTACAAAGATGAAAATGCCCTTTTAATGAATTATGAAGTGCTAAATGACTTGACTGTGCCCATTATCACACTGAGAACTGCATTAATGTTAAAGCAGAGGAGAAGGCATATTAGATGTATCCCTTGACAAGGGGCATAAGAAATAATGGGACTAAGTTGAGATGGACTGTCTCCAAACCATAGAATAATACAGTGCAGCACAAAAAGAAGCAGATTCAGCTCATCGATTCTGCACAGGCTTTTTATGAACTTACAAATTAGAAGCAGAAATAGGCCATTTGATCCTTCAATCATGTTCTGCTATTCAATAAGATTATGACTGATCCGTCTGTATTCTAGATTCCACATTCCCACCTAACACTGATAACCTGCCCAACAAGAATCAATCTACCTCTGTCTTAAAAATATTCGCTGACTTCACTGACCATCATCATCACCTCCTAAGGGAAATAGTTCCAATATTGCACAGCCCTCTAAGAGAGAAAAGAAAATCTCCCTCATCTCTCACTCAAAGTGTTGACCCCTAATTTTAAAACAGTGCCCCCTAGTTCCAGACTCACCCACAAGATGAAACAGCCTTTCCAGATTCACCTTGTCAAGTGCACATTCATGAACTAATACACTTCAATCAAAACACATCTCACTCTCCTAAACCCCAGTGAGAACAAGCCCAGTCTGTCCAATCGTTCCTCATAAGACAACCCACTCATTCCAGGTCTCAATAAAAACCGAAAGAACTGCTGTAAATCAGGAACAAAAACAGAAATTGCTGGAAAAGCTCAGCAGGTCTGGCAGCATCTGTGAAGAAAAATCAGAGTTAACGTTTTGGGTCCAGTTCTGAGGAAGGGTCATGAGACCCAAAACATTAACCCTGATTTTTCTCGTCACAGATGCTGCCAGACCTGCTGTGCTTTTCCAGCAACTTCTGTTTTCATTCCAGGTCTCAGTCCGGTAAACCTCCTCTGAACCAGCTTCAACACATTTACAGCCTTAGATAAGGAGATTCACACT